GTGAACTTCCTTGGCCAATAGCCTTTGATATGCCTCCAAGTGTGCTAAACTACCCATAGATTTCCGGCTAGGAGCATCCGCCACAATATTAGCCTTCCCCGGATGATATTATATATCAATGTCATAATCCTTGAGTAATTCAAGCCATCTTCTCTGCCTCAGATTCAGCTCCTTCTGTTTGAAAATATATTGAAGGCTCTTATGGTCCGTGAATATATCCACATGGACCCCATATAAATAATGACGCCAAATTTTCAATGCATATACCACTTCCGCAAGTTCTAAATCATGTGTTGGATAGTTCTTTTCATGATTATTGAGTTGCCTAGAAGCATAAGCTATAACCTTGCCATGTTGCATTAAGACACATCCAAGCCCAATTCTTGAAGCATCACAATACACCACAAATCCATCTGCACCCTCTAGTAAGGTCAACACCGGTGTCGTAGTCAATCTTGATTTCAGCTCCTGGAAACTCCTTTCACAAGCATCTGACCATTGGAACTTAAGTGCCTTCTGAGTCAATTTAGTCAACGGAGAGGCAAAGGTAGAAAACCTCTCCTCAAACTTCCTGTAATAACCCGCTAAGCCTAAGAAACTGCGAATCTCTATTGGGGTTGTAGCCTCGGCCAATTCTTCACAGCTGCAATTTTCTGAGGATCAACCTCAATTCCTTCTTTGGAGACGACATGACCCAAGAATGTAACAGATTCGAGCCAAAATTAACATTTCGAAAATTTCGCATACAATTGGTGCTGATACAGAGTCCGCAACACTGCCCTGAGGTGATCGACATGGTCCTCCTAACTCCGCGAATAAACAAGAATATCGTCAATGAACACTATTACGAAGGAGTCGAGAAAAGATTTGAAATCTCGATTCAGAAGATCCATGAAGGCTGCTGGGGCATTTGTTAGCCCAAAAGACATTACCAGAAATTCAAAATGCCCATACCGGGTCCTAAAAGTTGTTTTTGGAATATCCCGCTCCCTGATCTTCAATTGGTGATACCCGGATCTTAAATCAATCTTGGAGAAGTACCTAGGACTTTGCAATTGATCAAACAAGTCATCTATCCTTGGCAGTGGGTACTTATTCTTGATTGTGACCTTGTTAAGATGCCGATAGTCAATACACATTCTCAATGACCCATCTTTATTTCTTACAAAAAGGACCGGTGCTCCCCAAGGCGACACACTAGGCCGGACGAAACCCTTCTCTAACAAATCCTTCAGTTGCTCCATTAGTTCCTTCAATTCTGCCGGTGCCATTCTATAGGGTGAAATAGATATAGGATGCGTGTCTGGCATCACATCAATCCCAAAATCAATCTCCTTTTCTGGTGGGATCCCAGGGAGTTCATCCGGAAAGACTCCAGGAAATTTATTCATAACAGGCACGGACTCAAGTGTAGGTGCCTCAACATCGGTGTCCGTAACCTGGACCAAACGGTAAATTCACCCATTGTTGATCATTTTCTTGGCCTTAAGGTAAGAAATAAACCTACCCTTCGGCACTACATCATCACCCTTCCACTCAATAACTAGCTCATTTGGAAATTCGAACCTAACAGTCCTGGTTCAGCAATCAAGCTTGGCAAAACAAGAATAAAGCTAATCCATCCCCATTATCACATCAAAATCGACAATTCTCAATTTCATAAGATCGGCCATGGTGTCCCGACCATGTAACGTGATAACACAATCCCTATAAAACCCGCGCGGCCAAAATAGACTCACGAACTGGGGTAGATACAGAGAACGGCTCATGAAGCTGTTCCGGTTCTATCCCAAATTCCATAGCAACATAAGGAGTGGCATATGACAAAGTGGAACCGAGATCAATAAGAGCATATACATCATGGGATTGGACAAACAATATACCTGTGACAACATCTAGAGAAGCCTCTAAATCCCGACGCTTCCGCATAGCATAAAATCTACTGGGTTCTCCCGAATTCTGTGCACCACCCCTAGCTGCACCACCCCCTGCGGGTGCTGGGGTGCCTCGAGCTGGAGGTGCTGTGGATGTAGTAGCTGCAGAATTAGCTGGCTGCGCCGCACCTCTGTCCATGTTTCGGCAGGATGAGCGGCAATCCCTCTGAATGTGACCACTCACACCGCATCCATAATATATAGGTAGGTCCATGAAGCAGGCCCCAAAGTGCATCTTCCCACACTTAGGGCATGGGAGCCTCCGCTACTGAAATCTTCCGTCGGGCCGACCCTGCTGGTGGGGTCCCCTGTTACCCTGACTGGGTATAGATGACTGTGCACTCATTGAAGGCTGAGAGAATGATTGAGATAGTCCTGATGACCCTCCCCTGAATGCCGACCTACCACCACCAAAAGTTGCCCGCGGACCGGGCCTTGCTGTTACTCTGACGCTCCATTCTATTCTTCAATTTGTGGGTCTCTATGGCTTGAGAAAATGCCCCCATATTACCATAGTTCATATTAGAATTCAAGGCAGATGTAGCGGCCTCATTAATAACCAAGGGGAAAAGGCCCTGTACAAACCGACACACTCTAGCCTCCATAGTGGGCAACATGTGAATAGCATACTTGGACAGGCGCGCAAACTCCATATGGTACTCCCACACATTCATACTACCCTACTTCAGGCTTTCAAACTCAGCGGCACGGGCTACCTTAGTTTTGGCAGGCAGGAAATGATCCATAAAGGCATATGTGAACTCACCCCACCTTGCCGGAGGGCTCCCTTCCCTACGGGATTCCTCCCACAACATCCATCTCTGTAGCATGCATAACCCGGAGAGTCTTGTGCATCTCATCAATAAAGTCCTGAGGGTCCTCCTCGGGATTAGTACCCGTAAACACTAGAGGATCTAACTAAAGAAACTTGTTCACCCTGGAACTAGCAAATTCCCCTGGCTGACTGGAAGAAGTAGGCCCAACACTCGATCTCTAGGCCTGAGAAGCCACTATCTGTGCCAACATCTATATGGATCCCCTAAGATCAACATAAGAAACACCAAAATCGGAAGTTGGAGCTGGAGGTGGAACTGGAATATCAGTTGGAGGAACCGTTGCACCTTCAATAAGTGTAGGGATATGTGCGTTCTGATCAGCTGTGGTAGAATCAGGCAGCGTAGTAACTGGGGGAATATCCTTACCCCTCGGGTGCTCACCCGCATCATCAAATATAGGATCAACTGCCACTCCTGGGGTGACATTGGTTCTTTGGCCAGTTCTTGCCTTCTTCTTTGGTACCATGTACTGAAAATTAGAGCAACGCACGAGTTAAAGGAGAAAAAATATTACAACCAACTTTATCGCACGATCGAGAACATGAAAGAAGGGTATTATTCCTAAATGTCCAAGTAGCATCCTGATTATAGATGTGGTCGACAACACACCGATAAAAAGGGCTCTACTAGACACTGCTCCGAGACATCCTAGGACACTTTAAAACCTTAGGCTCTGATACCAAGTTTGTCACGCCCTAAACTCGGGGAGCGCGACCGGCGCTCAACCGAGTGAACCCGACCGATCAAGCCTATTAGATTTCCTTCTACCCAAACTCATCCATGAATAAGCATAATACATTTTTCGTTAATTAGACAATAAGGTGATAATGTCTATAATACCAATTCATTACCATTAATTACTTCATTAATAAGTCTCAAAACATACACACACACATACCTTCGTGATTCAAAGTGGGACAAGTGATTTAATCACATCACAACATGTTTAACATTCTCAACACCCATACACAACCCACACATAGTCTACGGAGCTTCTAAAGATACCAAAGAGTACAATGATAGTACCGGCAACAAGGCTCTGGCTATACCTCAAAACACGATAACATATACAAAACAAAAGATGCACAACCCCAGAATGAGATGGGGTTCACCAAGTCAGCTGGGAAGAATGAGCACTGCTATCACTAATCAATGTCTCCTGCTGTGGAACCACCTATATCCATTAAAGATGCAGCGCCCCCGGCAAAAGGGACGTTAGTACCGTCGAATAACACTAGTATGTATAACTAAACACCCATTTAAGAAATCGTAAGTACAATATGAATATGATGAATCAGGGCGGCAATAGAATAGCATAGATAACCGCTTAAACCAGAGCAAGCTTATTAAGAGTTGCATTAGCATTTTTAGAATTTAAGATGAGATCCTCTGTAACCATTTTCACACAAAGCGGCCCCGCCGCCTCACCCCAATGTAGGCAGGTGGAGGTGTAAACAGAATACCAAATCTTTACTCAAGCGGCCCTACCGCCTCACCCCAATGTATACGGGTGGAGGTGTAAACACAATACCCATTTTTACACAAAGCGGCCCCGCTGCCTTACCCCAATATATGCTGGTGGAAATGCATCAACGATACCAATAACTACACAAAACGGCCATGCCGCCTCACCCCAATATATATAGGTGGGTGATGGTGCAACAACAATACCAAAATCTTACACAAAGCAGCATTGCCGCCTCATCCCAATGTATGCAGGTGGAGGTGTAATCCCAATCACAATTTCTACATGATTTGGCATAATAATTTCCCCATAAATCACGACTTGGAATTATAATATATAGATACATAATCTATAGTTTGGAACACATCCTTAATTTATAATGCAATATAATAAGAGCATTTGAAACACGAATTGAAAATATATCTTTGTCTGCTCGAAGAATGTGTTCCTACCACAATAGTAGTTGAAGAAAGGGCTAAAGGTGGGCTCGGGGAAGGAAGAAAATGAATTTCTAAATCCCGAAAAGGAGGAATAATCCCTTTTCTGTCTTTTTGTATCCGTAGTGGAATAAGCCTTGGCATCAGCATCAGCATAACTAAGGAACTCTTTCTTGGCAACTTGGACAACTTATAACGATGTTTGTCCCGCATATCACTAGGAAGATCGGGATCTTTACAAAGGGCTTTATAAAGCTTTCGTCTCAATTCATATTTAGCCGCGAGCAATCTACGTTTGTGATCTCGTATATTTCGCTTCTCCGACATCTTACTGAGTTTCCCCCTCATCTTTTTGCAAAAAGCCGCTCCACGGTGGTAAAGTCTCATCTTGTGTGTTGGCCGAAGTTACAATAGTAACATTGAACCCTCGAATATGTTCGAAGATCTCGAAATGATCTTCCAGTTCGGGGGAGAATTCGCAAAATTCCGTTTCCATCGAGAATAGAATTGACCTTTCCCTTATTTCGACCGGAGAATCTAACAGAGACATTACTGTGGATATTCTGACCAAAAAATTAGACATTCCATGCCCTCGGAGAGTGCTTTGTCGTGCTAGGTCACTGACATATCCTTTTTTGTCTTTATTTGACCCCAAGAATGGATTGGATCGAAACGACTTTCCTGTTGAAGCCCTTTGTGTCTGTATTAATTTCTGACCGCACGGAATCTCCATAGCCAATTTTCCATTTTTGATAGAAGGTGCTGGCTGGCACAGAGTTAGCCGATGCTTATTCCCCAGATACCGTCTTTCTTTGCATGAATCAAGTTCTTCGACAGGNACTTCCTGAATGGTCTGAAGATTTGCAGGAATGGAATAGAGAAATGCATATTAAATGTACTTATAATGGTGTTCAATTATCAGAAACAGAATTTCCAAAAAATTGGTTGAAAGATGGCATTCAGATCAAAATATTATTTCCTTTTTGACCGGGAAACCATGGATTTTTGAGTTTTCGCCATTGGTTACTGGTTGAGCCACTGGGTCTTTCTGCACGGAGAAGCCAATCTTGCCAAGTCTTGAATACTGGGGTTCTCACTGAACGGTTTCCGTAAAGTAGAGACCCTGAAACAGGTTCACGAATACCATCAATGTCTACTGGAGGAGCATCTTTGGCACACTAATTGGTATCTTTATCACATTAGCCAAACTAGAAGCAAAGCTTCCCGGTCGCCTGCCTCCTTGTGTGGAAATGCGGTCCCTTTATTCAATATCCGTCATGCTAAGAATAGGGGGTTTAGGAAGAATACGGGCTTTGTT